GGTTTCGGGTTTTGGGGGGGTGAATGGGGGTATTGAGGGCCGCTATGGGGGTGTTCCCAAAAAACAAAAAAGGTTTTTGTTTTTGGCAGTGTGCCGACGACCCCCGACCGGTAGTTTTCGACCAGCCGATCGGTCGGCGGGTCGGCAGCCGACCAGTCAAGGGCCACCGACCGTCGGGAGGTGCAACACTGGGTCAGAGTATATTGGTGCTTGCTGTTGCTTGTGACAGTACATGCACTGTATTTTTTGTCAGTGTTTCCCTAGCATCGACCGGTCATGAAATCGCACATCATAACCGTTGGTGTTATCATGTACCCCTAACTTATCTACCATCCGTCTTTCTTCTCACCGTGAGGAAGAGCATTTTGCTTGGCAATCATCTCATGTCAATTGCGAGAGTGATCTACCTTGAGAGTCAATCTTCTTATGGCACGCCCAGTTGGAGAAGGGCGGTGCATGGGAAGCGCTCTAGGTGGATGAAGCACATGATACGGGACTAGAACAAGCATGCTTGCACAGATCACACCAACCTTCAGCAGAGGAATAGAGACAGTCAGAGCAGGTGGCCTGGGAAGGGAAGTCGCCCCTTTGCAACCCTAAATAATTCCTGATGGCTGTTCATTGGAAGTCGCCATGTTTGCAACTCTGAATAATTTTTTATCTGGTTCGCTTACCGCGGACTAGTGTGTGCACTGGGGTGGGTCCAGATGCCTGCTAGTCACTGCTTTTCCACATACGTCATCAGCGAAGCATAACGAAAGGCGGTAGGTTCCGACTGAATACTCGCTGGTAGCATTTACCAATTTCCGCAAGTCATCTGTTCTCAATTGGTAGCGATTTCAGTTTCTTACAATGATCCAACTCAATTTCAGGCTCCAATCACAATCTTGCAGGTCTCCAAAGTCCACACACACACTCCAATGAAGCAGCAAGATATGCATCAGCTGAAACTCAAATAAATTAATCCCAAAACACAAAACTTTCAAGCTTTCGAACCCATAGTACAAGCAACTATGGCTGCCAAGCTCCCTTACTCTCTCTCTCTCTCTCTATCTATCTATCTATCTATCTATCTATCTATCTATCTATCTA